GAACCGGTTTGGCTTAGTGGATGGAGCGTCGGCCTGCGACTCAAGGGTCCCAGGTTCAGTTCCGGTCAAGGGCATGTGCCTTGGTTGTGGGTGCGTCCCCAGTGGGGGGCATGCAGGAGGCGCCTGTTCGATGTTTCTCTCTCATCGATGTTTCTAGCTCTCTATCGCTCACCCTTCCTCTCTGTAAAAAATCAATAAAATATATTTTAAAAAAAATCAATAAAATATATTTTAAAAAAAAGATAAACATGATGATTTAAAAAAAAAAAATGGGTATAATGGTTACAGGGTACAGGCAGTGAGCCTGGGGAAGGACTCCACTGCTGGGGCAACTAGGTTGTTAATCTTTTCATGATAATATGCAGGTCTGGGATGAGAATGGACCACAGTCCAAGGTTGACTCCTAGTTCCAAGCCAGGTACAAGGAGTGGGGGGAGGCGTACAACTCTCAGCCAGGTTAGAATGTGCTTCCTTTAGCCCAGCCGGCATGGCTCAGTGGTTGAGTGTAGGTCTAGGAACTGGGAGGTTATGGTTTGATTCTCGGTCAGGTTGCCGGCTTGATCCCCAGTGTGGGGCAGCGATGGATGACTCTTTCTCATCATTGATGTTTTTATCTTCTCCCTCTCCATTCTTCTCTGAAATCAATAAAAATATATTTTTTAAAAAGAATGTGGTTACTTTAATCAGAACAGAACAATCACAGTTAACAGAGTATGATTAATATTTCTTATAATTACAGCTAGTCTCCGATATTCTATTTCTTCCCCTAACAAATGGTGTCTCTCACATCAATGTTTCTCTCTGTCTGTCTCTCTTTCTCTCTCATTCTTTCTCCCTTCCTTCCACTCTCTCTGAAAAGCAATGGGGAAAATATCCTTGGGTGAAGATTAACCAAAAAAAAAATAAACAAATCATTAGACTATACTTTACATAAGGAAATAAGTTTCATGAGGAGCATGATGTTTTTGCATGGTGGTGAAAGTATATTCCCACAGATTGTTTATTAATTGTAAGGGCAAAAACTGCATAGTGATGATACTGGATGACACCTTGATCAGATGATTACAATTAATATCCTCAGTGATGGTTGCCAGACGGGAGGGGTGTTGGGACTGGGTGTAAAAGGTGAAGGGATTGAGAACTACAGATTGATAGTTACAAAATAGTTATGGGGATGTAAATTACAGCATAGGGGATATAGTCAATAATATTGTGTTAACTATGTATGGTGCCAGGTGGGTACTGTAAATATCAGGGGGAACACTTTGTGAAGTATATGATTATCTAAACACCATGCTGTGCACCTGAAACTAATACTAAATAATGTTGAATATAAACTATAATTGAAAAATAAAACTTAAAAATGAATATCAATGAGGGGCAGATAGCCTTCATGTGCTTCTAGATATGATCATCATCTCAAACACTTAATGTCAGTATTTTGTCTGATAATGCACAATTTGAATATAATGAGAAAAAACTCTGACAAACCAAAATTGAGGAATATTATATAAAATAATTGGCCTTAGTACTTCAAAAACATCAAATCATAAAAGGCAAAGGCTTAAAAACTGCTGCAAATTAAAGAATAGGGAGACATAAACTCAATGCATTAATGTGATCCTGGACTAGACAATTGATAAAATGTGATAAGGACTGTAGATTAGAAAATAGTATTAAATCAATGTTAAACTTCCAGATTTTGATAATAGTACTGTTATGGACTGCATGTGTGTGTGTCAACCTCCTTCCCCAATTTATATGTTGAAACCCCAACCCCCAATGGGATTGTGTTTGGAGAGAGGGGCTTTGGGAGGTAATTTAGGTCATGAGGATGGAGCCCTAATGATGGGATTGATGTTTTTATAAAAAAAAAGACACAAGAGAGCTTGTTTCTCTGCTGTCCACCATGTGAAGATACAAGAAGACTGTTTGCAAATGCGGAAAACTGCCCTCACCAAGTATCCATTCTGCTGCACCTCCATCTTGGACTTCTCAGCCTCCAGAGCTTCAGAAATAAATTGTTTAAGCCACCAAGTCTATGGTAAATTGTCATAGCAGATTAAGCAGAGTAAACAAGTATTACGGTTATGTCAAAGAAAATCATGATTCTTGTGAAATACACACTGAATAGTAAGGGATAAGGAGGCATGATACATGCACATTACTCTCCAGTGAGTCAGAAAAACATGTATACATATGCCTCTGTATAGATAAGATAGATAGGGAATATGATAAAACATGTTATTGCAATTTTCTGTAAGTGAAATCATACGGAGATGTCTTCTGCTTAGGATTTTTCACTCTCCAGCTTGTGGGAAGAAACAAATATTAGTTATGCCTGCCTTAAATTTCTCCACAGTCACTCTTTAGTAAATAGATATTTACAACTATTCTAACACATAGATTAGCACAAAAGAGATTAAATAAGTCTGAAACATATGACCTGGCAGCAGTATTGTTACAATTATATCCACCCTTAACACTACGCAACAGACTAATTCTTTAATAAATACAAACCAGTTCTAATACTTTTGGTTGTTCATGATGTAGTCCACTATAAATCAAACCATACGAATTCTTGTTCAGTAGCCTTACATGGAGGAATAGTATTACTATAATGCAAACACAGTGAATGATGACCTTCCAAATATTTCTAGAAAGGGGGTAGGAAATTTTGCAAATTACTCAAAATGTGCAATAAAAGCACCAAACACTACTGTTTTCAGTTTTCTAATAAGGGCAAATACATTATTGCTTGAAGGGAGAATATCCATATTCTAAAGAAGGAAGTATTCCCTAACCGGTTTGGCTCAGTGGATAGAGCATCAGCCTGCAGACTCAAGGGTCCCAGGTTCGATTCTGGTCAAGGGCATGTACCTTGGTTGCGGGCACATCCCCAGTAGGGGGTATGCAGGAGGCAGCTGGTTGATGTTTCTTTCTCATCGATGTTTCTAACTCTATCCCTCTCCCTTCCTCTCTGTAAAAAATCAATAAAATATATTTTAAAAAAAACTAAAGTTGAAGCTATTATTTTCTTTGTTGCATAATGAGTTGAAGGAAGAATATCAACATAATGCCACTGATATAGAGATCTGGAAATCTATTATGATGTTGCTTAGAGAAGTAAATTATGTTGATCTAAGAGCAGCAAATTGGTTATCAAACCCATTGATGGGTTCCCTTCAAGATCTTAACTCATAAAGCAAAACAATGGATCTGCATCCCAAGTAAAACATAAAAAACATTTCCTCAGTCACACAAAGAACATTTCCCCATAGTTGTCTCCACTTTGAATCCTGAACCAATCAGCAAACAACTCTGCTGCTTCCCATTCTAAATAGTACCCTACTTCATAGACTGACCTTAAAATCATCCAAGCCAATCTCTTCTAAATTTCCTAGGACTGAAAGACTCCCAAGATTTGCCTATGGTTTGTTCTCCTTTGTTACACCAATCTAAATAAACTACAGGCATGTCTGAAAAGCATGTTAACAGGTTTCAAAGGATTTTCTTATAAACTCATAGTCCAGCTAGCCAGAGAAAATTATTATTTAAGTAGGTTTCTTATTTCAGGCATGGTTTGCTTGGTAGCTAGACATGGTTCTGATAATATTATAAATGTTTCATTTTTGAGAAATCTGCTCTTAGAAATTTTTGCTAAACATTTTCAATGGTGGTAAAAATACCATAGTTGATAGAGTACATGACACAGTTGAACTATTCCATTCCCCAATCAGACATTTAGATGTCTTGCAATTTTAAAAAATTATTATTTTTTTATTGATTTCAGAGAGGAAGAAAGAGAGAGAGATAGAAACATCAGTGATGAGAGAGAATCATTAACTGGCTGCCTCCCGCCACCCCCCCTCCCCCTTACAGGGGATGGAGCCTGCAACCCTAGCTGTGTGCCCTGACTGGGAATTGAACCTTGACTTCCTGGTTCATAGATTGAAGCTCAACCATTGAGCCACACTGGACAGGCAGATGTCTTATAACTTTTTTTTTTTTTTAAATATATTTTATTGATTTTTTACAGAGAGGAAGGGAGAGAGATAGAGAGTTAGAAACATCGATGAGAGAGAAACATCGATCAGCTGCCTCCCGCACATCTCCTACTGGGGATGTGCCCGCAACCCAGGTACATGCCCTTGACTGGAATCGAACCTGGGACCTTTCAGTCCGCAGGCCGACGCTCTATCCACTGAGCCAAACCGGTTTCGGCACAACTTTTGCTATTACAAACTAATCTGTGATAAATATTTTTCATAAAACTTCTTACAGATTAAATTGTCCTCAGGATAAATCCTTGCAATGACAACAACTGAATTGAAGGATATGAGAATTTTTGGCCTCTAGCCACATAACGCTTTCTTTTCAAGAGTTTTATCAATGAACTCCTCCTACCTGCAATCCATTAAAGTAAATGTTCCACTGACATTTTCCCAGCACATTCGGAGAAACTTGAATACAAGTTTTGCTCAGACATTTAAAAGTTTTAGATATTTACATACAGCTTTTGCAGAACACAACAGGCGGGTTTCTCATTCTCAATTTGCCTCTAAATCTCTCAAACTGACTAGGTAGAAAAGCAACTGAAGTCACTACACTAAAGCACTTGGAGGAAAGTAAAAAATAGCAAATATTATGCAATAATTATTACAAGCATAGGTAAGTGTGGTCAGATGGTAGGTTTGTATATATACAGACAAAAACAGGAATCGAAGATATAAAAGACTTTCCAACTTGAATTCTTTTCAAAACCTTTGACAATTGTTGATGTATAAAAAAAGGTTTTTGTAAGGTGTTATGTGAGAAAAAATTAAAAACACATAGTTGAACATAAGTGAATTATTTTATTGACTTCTTTTTGAGTGTGAACGTTGTAAAAAGGTCAACTATTTTATTTCACAAAGGTAATAATTGAGAATATATATATAGTTTAAGCCTCACCCAAGGATATTTTCCCACTGCTTTTAAAGTGGAAGGAAGGAGGGGAGAGAGAGAGAAAAACATCTATGTAAGAGAGGCGCATGGATTGGTTGCCTCCCACAGAAGCCAGGAACCGAGGTACATGACCTTGTCCAGGAATCCAACGGGCGACCCTTACTTAGGTTCTTGGGCCAAAGCTCTAACCAAACCGGCCAGGGCATGAACACCTTTTAAAAGTACATTTTAAAATCGTGGTCTGGGGCTTAGTGATCAGGTTAGCTGGGCCTCAGCTTCCTGTCCTATTGGGCCCTGGGCTCTCTAGCTTTGCCCGTTTCCTTCATGCTAACCTGGAGCGCTAGTCCTCAATTTTCTTCCCAGGCTGTATTACATGCTGGGGAGCCCTTGAGTGATATACTAGTCAAACACATCAGATTCCTTTCCTGATCTCAGACTTCTGCTAAAGCTCCACGTTCCTGGCCTTTTGCAAAAAAGAAAAACGGAGACATCCGTCCCCATCACCACCTTTAAGTGACCTTCACTTCCACAACCACGCAAAACCCAACCCGAAACCTCCTTCACATCTCTATTCAACAGAACCAAGCCCAGCCACCGCTCGGTGGAACTGCTGTGACGTCACCGCGGAGAAACGCATGCGCTGGGCCTGGAGGCCCTTTTCCGCTCTTTTCCAACGGAGCTCGGGCGTCCGCGGGTGCGACGAGAGAACTACAATTCCCAGCGTCCTGTGCGGTGCGGGAGAAGGGAGGTCGGGACCGTGGTAAAGAGGATCGGGAGGATAGCGGGCCCGAGCCGGCCGCTCCTCCTTCTGAAGCGGTTTTGCACCTCTTTGGCCCGCGGCGTCGGCGGCGTCGGCGCTCACGCAGGGGCGGGTCACGGCGGCGTAAAGCGGAGCTGGGCGGGAAGGGAGGTCGTGGCGGTGGCGGTGTCGGCGGCGGGGACAACAGCCACAGCGGCGGCCACAGGGACAGCAGCAGCGCCGGTGCTGTCAGTGAGGCCGTCGGAGAAATGGGAGACCCAGGGCCGGAGGTGAGTGAGGGGGGCCGCGCAGGGTTTTGTGTTTTGTGGGCGGAGGCCTGGTGCTCGGCCGCAGCCTCGGGGCGATGCCCTGGGCGTCTCGGCCGAGCCGGCGTTGGGACCTTGCAGGTCTGAGCAGGAACCAGCAGCAACAATGGCCGCCCCGGCCCCCGGCCGGGCCCCAGGCTCCTTGTTGTGGCTGCTCCGCCGACCGGCCTGCTCCTCGGCAGGGAGCCTGCGTCCCTCGTCCTGGAGCCGCCGGGGGGATCCGGAGGGGCCCGTGGCTGGTTTTCGCCGTCTGGTCCCGACCCCCCTACGAAGGTAGAGGCATAACCCGACTCCGGGGAGCTCTGCTCTTCGTCGGGTTTGCGTGGAATCGTGCCCTTAAGTTTCTTTGGGAGCTCTTCCCTTTTCGTTCCTTTTGGGGAAAACCTCTTCCTGCAAGTACATGGCTGTATAGATAAGCGTGTTCTGGCTTATTTTTGTAGATAATAGGATCTGTCCCTCCAGCGGGGCCTGGGGCATCTGAGTCCGCAGCGGATGAGAATGAAGATGACATTCAGTTTGTGAGTGTAAGTAGCCACATTTCGGGTTTTTCGGAGTCGAAGACTGACTGCGTGGTAAGCGGTTATGGGACGACACCTCGCCTGTTCATTCATCGCCCAGCCAATACGTGTGCATGTCCGACGGGTGCTGGACAGTGTGGAGGTGGCAGCGCGGGAGGGAATTGAGCCACCTCCGTGGCCATCACAAAGGCTGCCGGCGGAGGCCGCGTTGTGCGCTCCATCACTCCTCTCCTGCCTCCACCGAGGGCCATTTTCTACTCTGGCTCGGGCCGAGTTCTGGTCCCTTAAGGCTGTGTATCGAAATGGGTCAGGAGTAGCTTCTAAGCCTGCAGCGGTTCTCAGCCTGTGGGTCGCGACCCCTTTGGCGGTGGAACGACTCTTTCACAGGGGTCGCCTAAGACCATCCTGCATATCAGATATTTACATTACGATTCATAACAGTAGCAACATGACAGTGATGAAGTAGCAACGAAAATAATGTTACGGTTGGGTCACAACATGAGGAACTGTATTTAAAGGGCCAGAAGGTTGAGAACCACTGTAAGGGGAGCCACCCAGGTGAGGGAGAAGGGACGGCTGAGGAGGAGGAAGGGTGTAGAGAGGGAGGAGGAGGGCTGTAAGAACTCAAAACCTGAGCTTCCTCACGTGGAGGCAGCTAGCTTGAAGGTGTCACAGATCTCTGAGGTCACGATGTTACAGCACAGTAGTGCAGTTGATGTGCATAATGAAGAAGATACCTGCATCACCAGGAACTCACTGTGTTTTCTGATTTTATTCCCGTCGAGACCGTTTCCAAGCATTCGTAATAAGTGTATACATTCCTGGGCCTCACTCTGGACCTATTGAGTCAGAATTTGAAGGTGGGGGTCTAGGAATCTTCATTTTGGAAAAAAAAAAAATGCAAGGATGGACGGATCTCTGGACCACACTTTTTAAAGCGTTGGTTTGGGGAGAAAGTGGGTCTGATGTATTTTGGGGAAGATTTTCACCCAAAACAAAGTCTGACAAGGGCTCTGCTTGGAGAATACCGCTACTCTAAAGTACCCTTTGAATACTGGAGTTGAGGTGTATTATTAAAGGTGTATAATTTTTCTTTAACAGAGTATTTGTGTTTGTTTTGGGGCAACTTCGGAAAACTGGTTATTAAACAGTATTCGATAGTATCACAACATTAGGGCCATGTGATGATCTATTGTATTGTGTGTTAATGGGTTTGTGTAGGAGTCTTTCACAAGAGCATTTGTGGCTTTTTCTCCAGTGCTAGCGTATATGGTCCTCTTTTTTATTTTAAACTTTTAAAGTTTTGGGTTGTGGGAGGTTAGAAGAATTGTATCCTGCCCCCAGTCTCTGTGGACTGAAGTATGCTTAGAAACAGAATTCCTTGGCTTTTTAGGACAAATATTTCAGGTTCTTTCTGAGTATTGGTATATTTGTGAATGGAGAGTACTTATTTTGATATTTTGTGCAAATATAAGTAAGAATGACACACAGTTCTTTATGAACTACAGGCTTACTTTGAAAGTCACTGACGGAATCTATTAAAATAAGATTTTAAAAATATTTTTTGTGGTACTCTGGGATGAAGAATTGTAGCTTGTGACTAATATAAGCTTGTATTAAGTTGAAGTTTAACTCTAAGTTTTATTTTAAATGTAGAGAATCTGTTATATCTTTCATCAGAATAAAAAATATACAATCAGTTTCGTGTATCCAGCTTGACACAACTTATATTTACTCTTGTTTTCAACTATAGGTTCAAAGGCTTGATAGTTCTAAATGGACAAATGAATTATATGTACCATGTACAATTATAATATGAGAAGAAGCCTATTCAACATTCCCTCTGCCTTTGTAATGATAACACTAAATGACAATGATACCTTAATTCTATTTTAAAATACATTTAGAGACAGACTCTTCTACTTCTTTCTGTGACCCAATCTTATCCTCTAGGTAATGCTTATCCAATTAAATAATAAACAGTTCCCTGGTTAACTTAAGATGAATTCAGATACAGAAAAGAGCATTATGATGTCATTTCTTGATTTATTATGGTTTAGATTTCTTAGTTTGCTGTTAATTAATTTAATTTTTTAATCTTTGAGCCATATGATGGCACATCATTCTTTCTGTGGTTTGCAGAAATAGAATCTGAAACTAAACAGCATGCTGAAGGAAAGGAAAAATATAGATGTAGAGGTCCAAAATGACCCCTTTCATTTATATTTTATTGAAATTAACATTGAACTCAATTCGTAAGTGTACTGTTTGACTTTTGCAAAGCCAGTACACCTGTGTAAACAGTGCTCAAATCAAGAAACAGAATATTACCCTAACAAAAACTTTTCATTTAGGTCTTTTTCTCTCATTTTCTGTTTAGTTTAGTAACATGACTCTTTTTTCAGCCATCTTTATGTCTTTCTTTGAAACTGGATATTTTAATTTACTCACAGAAAATTGTTTAGCCTAGAAGCCCATGACATGCTTTTTCACAGAGCTACTCTAGATACAAAGGTATAAAAACTGCTGAGGCAACCTATCATAAATTTGAGAACAGCACATGAGCCTTGGCCGGTTTTGCTGCATGGTTAGAGCATCAGCTCTGGCTCTGAATGGTTACGGGTTCGATTTTCGGTCAAGGACACCTGCCTCCATTGCTGGTTTGATCCCCAGTCCCAGTTGAGGCATGTTGTGCGGGAGGCAACCAACTTAAATGTTTCTCCCTCCCTCCCTCTCTTCCTCCCTTTTCTGTTTCCCTCACTTCCCCCTCCATCCTTTCCACTCTCTAGAAATCAATGGAAAAAATATCCTCAGGTGAGGATTTAAGAAAAAAAAAAGAACACATGAGATTTATGTTTCAGCCAAGATTATTGGCTTAATGTGGAATCGTTGAACCTGTGGAAATAGTGAAAGAAATTGTATAATTTCATAAATAACTTGAGCACATAGTTCAAGTGATATTTCACCAGCAGTAGAATGGGTCATAGGCAAAAAAATAAAAATCAAAAAATAGGATATCTTTTGTCTGGGTGTCTTAAGGGTTATAATTAGCTTAATAAAAATGTTGGAGCTCATAATATGCGGAGTCATGAATTAAGTACCTTGGAGCTACACATATTAATTGGAAATACATTTCACCCAAAAATGTCAGTACTTTAGTGTGGGACATGAAATAGGAGATGAGAACTATGTAAATAATTCTAGTAGAAAATTTCTTTTATAAAAAATACATGGTGCTGTCACCAAAAAAAAAAGTCCTTCAGTTTGCTACTTTGCCATATGTAGCATTTAGTATTTGTACGTGTTTAAGAGGTTATTTTTAGAAGAAATAAGGAAAGGCATCAAAATTGGAAAAGCAATTTTTTGTGTAGTTGTGGAAGATAAGATTTTTTTTTTTGCAAGTGGGAGAGGAAAGGATGGGCTAGATAGTATAGATCTTGCATTGAGGACTACATTTGAACTTAAAGTAGGCAATTGGGAACCATTTGAAATTTTTGAACTCGGCAGGACTGAAGAAGTAAACTATGCCCCTAACTTACCTATATAGAAAAAAAAAACCCAAATGAATTATTTAGAATTTTAGATTAGATTTTTGCATCTGTGGTTAAATCCATATTTGTTTTAGACTGAGGTAAGCTTTTTTTGTGTGTATATCTTTGTGTATTGACAACACTTTCCAGTTAGTTGGCAATTGGTGTTTTGAATTTGTGTGAGAATCAATTTTCTAATAACAGAAATGAAACCTTTATTTAAAACAAATTTGTTTTTAAACTTAGATTATTAATTCAACTGTGTTCCTAATCTGTTTTGCTTGTGCCTGTGCTTCTGCTCCTAAATTGTGTGGCCTTGGAAGTAGAATCCTTTGATTTGGTGTTGGTACAGAGGAGATAAGAATGACGGTTTAGTCCTAACCGGTTTGGCTCCGGGGATAGAGCGTCGGCCTGTGGACTGAAAGGTCCCAGGTTCGATTCCAGTCAAGGGCATGTACCTTGGTTGCGGGCACATCCCCAGTAGGAGGTGTTCAGGAGGCAGCTGATCAATATTTCTCTTTCATCGATGTTTCTAACTCTCTATCCCTCTCCCTTCCTCTCTGTAAAAAATCAATTAAAAAAAAAAAAAAGAATGACCGTTTACTAGTTGATGTATGGAGCATATTCAAATAAAATACCTTGTAAATGGAGGACCACATGCATATATACTTGTTAAGGATATAAGCAGTCATTATAAATATTAGAAATTATTTTCTCTTGGTCTTTGTGCTGTAAACATTACTTCTTTGGGGAGTTTATTTATTGGTCAGTGTTATGAGTTACTCAGAGTTGGGGATAGTAGCAGGTAATCATTTTTCTCTTATTGAAAAGTATCTTATCTCAGAAACTTAGATAATAAGCATGGATTTAAAAATATTATGTATCGCCCTAGCCAGTTTGGCTCAGTGGATAGAGGGTCAGCCTGCGGACTGAAGGGTTCCAGGTTCGATTCTGGTCAAGGGCACATGGCCTGGGTTGTGGGGGGTTGTGCAGGAGACAGCCGATCAATGATTCTCTCTCATCATTGATGTTTCTATCTCTCTCTCCCTCTCCCTTCCTCTCTGAAATCAATAAAAATATATATTAAAATTAAAATAAAACACACCACTATTAAAAAAATTATGTATATTTTGAACTACTTCAGAGTTGCATTGGGCACACAGCCAATTATGTGTTTAGAGAACCAGGTATGTATCTCACTTAGTTTTCTTACTTGTTAAATGGGATAATAGTAATTCAGTATCTCACCTTGTCAGTAATTTTGAGGACTAAATAAAATCATGTGCGTGAAAAGTTTAGCACAATCCCTTTATAGGGCAGGATGACAAATGTTACTGATTAGTAGGAAAATAAATGGAGTACTAAAATGTTTTGATTCCCTCATTATGGTGGAAGTTTTTCTATATCCACTGTGGAAATTAGAGTATTTGTTTATAAAGTAATCTTTTCCTTGGGGGTACTTACCTTTTCTTATTTTTCCACTCAGCCTCTTTGTCTTTTTGGAGGCCTCGGACACTTTCCTACCATTCTATCATAACTCCATAATTATGTGTTGAGTAATGAATAGATATCCTAAATGACTCCTGCTTTTTCTCACGTCTGGATTACCTATCCTGATTTCTTTTTATTCTTTTTAGTTAGTGTGAATTATATGAAGTTGCCATTGCTTGGTTGTGCATATCAGTCCAATGGTTCCTCCAGTAGTAAATTTCTGGTAGTTTTCTCTTGTCTGTTTTCATTTCTGCATCTTCTCCTATTTCGTGACTTATCTTTTAATCCTATTTGTGACCATTTTCGTTATCCTGTTTTTTCTGCCCATTCTACTTTTTGCTTTGTGCCTGTTACTTTCTTTCATCTCCTTTATTTCTTTACCTACTATCTGTTCGTGGAAATTCTGTCCCTACCTCTGTTTTTCTGGTAACCTGAGGACTTTCTTGGTGTGCTATTTCTGTGGGCATGTAATAAAAATTTTTTAATGCAAATTTCTTGAATAGTGCAAACTCAGATAATTATATAAACAGTCAAAGTTATTTTTATCTACTCTATTTCCTTCTTGGATTAATTATATGATTTTGATGATCTTTATACCAGTGGTAGGTTTTAGTCTTAAAATAGGTGATGTACCTCTGTCGACAATACATTGGAGAATATCTGTCCCTCTTTTCCTCCTTTTTAAACTTCCATTTTTATAGCTTAGCAAAAATCCCAATTACTTTGTTACATGATTCCTGCCCAAAAGTTTTGCTCTCTGGATCACTACCTTCAAGGATAGTAATTTTCTGCTTGCAGAGAAGTTGTAGCCCAGGGGGAGAAACAAGCTATCTTTTAGACTGGATGCTTCTTTCAGGAAGAGGATCTTTAACTAGATCTTAGCTTCTGTCTTCAGATCTAGAATCTTTTTCTGTTTTTCCATCGAATTAATCACTTTGGCTTGCCAACAGTCAACTTTATCCTAAGAAATCTTTCTTCAGCCATATTCTCCCCCTCCTATGTTCCTTCCTAGATTTTTTTTTAAAATTTAAATTCTTTATTGTTTAAAGTATTACATAAGTCTCCTTTCCCCCCATTGACCGCTCCCTGGCCACCCCCACCCCCTAGCACGTGCCCTCCCCTCCCCCCCCAGATTTTTTTTTTAAAGAATACTCTCTACTCATGTCCTTTGCCGCCTTATTTTCTATTTAATTTTTAGAGAATGGCTTCTGTGCTCACTACTTTCTTGATAGTTGCTCTCTCAAAATCTTGTTGCCAAATTCAGTGACACTTTTTTTTTTTTTGGTGTTTTGGGTCATATTTAGCATTGATAACTTTTCATCGAGGATCACTTTATCTTTAGCTTCTTCGGATTTATGCATTCCTGATTCTTTTCCAATCTCTGATTACCCACATAGCTCTTCTTCCCGAATCCTAAAATTCTAGCATTTCCTCAAGAGCCTCCTTGAATTCTTCTTTGTCCTCTAAAATTCTAGCATTTCCTCAAGAGCCTCCTTGAATTCTTCTTTGTCCTCTAAAATTCTAGCATTTCCTCAAGAGCCTCCTTGAATTCTTCTTTGTCCTCTTTGCTCTTTTCTTTGGCTACTCATAGTTTCAATTTAAAGCTACAGTTAATAGGCTTTTAGGGGAGCCACTCCCCAATCTCTATTCTCAGTTACTTCATACATCCAGATTACAGGCCTGCATTTCCAGCTCTGCCAAATACCTCTGTGTGCCATTGGCATATCACATCATTCCGTGCAAAAGAATATCAGCATTGTGTTTCTGTATTCCAAATTTATATTAATGGCATTAGTATCCTTCTAGTTACCCAAGCTTGAAACCTTAGGGGATCACTTTTTTACTTCTAGTTGTTGTTGGGATTTTGTTTGCCAATCTTCGCGCTTCCCCCTCCCCCCACCTCTCCATTATACCCATATATTCTCTTCTATATGCACCACCACACCATTCTTGCTGTCACCACTACTTTAGTTCTGCATTTTTATGTGTCTGGACTGGTTAATTCTGCCTTTTCCACTCTTCATACTTCTTTATGTGATTTATCTTAAAGCACAAGTCTCATATGTTACTCCCATGTTAGTTTTTATTCTCTTTAACCTAAAATCAAGACTTTTAGAATAAAATCAAGGCTTTTAAGCCTAGCATTCAAGGCCTGGTTCATGATAAAAGTCAGTATGGATGGAAAGAAAGGATGGAGAAGAATTAGGTTTAATATTTCTCTATAGAAATGGGAGATAAAGCTGAGCTCTTGGTCAAAGAACTCCATGGTTTTGAGCTTAGATATCTAACAAACCATTGATACCCATCACATTTGAAAAGTACTGGCTCATAATATCTGTGTCCTTATAGTCTGTTTCTGTATTAATTGACATAGTCCCAATACTCTTATCGGGGTTTAGGGTCCTCCTCCTAGGCCTCGCCATCGTTTCTTTCTTTTTTTTCTCGTCATCATTTCTTATTCATGTACATACTCTGAATATTTTACTCTGCATTTTGATTATTTTCTGCCAGCCATAAGGAATTCAGAGGAATTTTTGCCAATCCAACAAACATTGTTTAAAATGCTAGTTTAGTTTGAATAACTCTTCATGATTTGTTAATTTGCTCAATTCTTTCCTAGGAAGGACCATTAAGACCTGTCCTTGAATATATTGATCTGGTCAGCAGTGATGATGAAGAACCTAGCACCTCTCATAGTGATGTAAGTACATTATATTTAATTTGTATTTCTTTACTTCGGTCATTTAATAGGCATTCTCTAAAGAGAGTTATCAGATCAATGACGGTTGTGTTTATTGCTTTAAAGCAGTGATGGTGAACCTATGACACGCGTGTCAGAGGTGACACGCGAACTCATTTTTTGGTTGATTTTTCTTTGTTAAATGGCATTTAAATATATAAAATAAATATCAAAAATATAAGTCTTTGTTTTACTATGGTTGCAAATATCAAAAAATTTCTATATGTGACACGGCACCAGAGTTAAGTTAGGGTTTTTCAAAATGCTGACACGCTGAGCTCAAAAGGTTCGCCATCACTGCTTTAGAGGATGGCCCATTTCTGTTAGGATGGGCCATATAGGTAGTCTAAGGAGTTATTTGCCCAGAATATCTCCTACTTTTAGTTTTGTTTATTCACTTTCAGTGAGGGTGTGAAAGGATGACATGACACAGGAAAGTTCTAAGCCTTGGTGATGATATCTGATAAAAGGGAAATGGAATAAAAACTGCAAGCTTTTTGGCTCCTTGTGTCCTTTTCCTTTCCTATTTCTCTTCAGTTGCCCTATAGAACTGGATCCTTTTCATCCAGAACCATGTAGACACAGAAAATTTGTTTTATCTTGGAAGAAAGAATATGTGAAGATCCTTTAGAAAATGACATGTAGGAAGGGTTATAGGTGATATATTACTTTAGACATCACATCTTTTAACCTCTTCTATCCCCCATATTTGGAGTTTTCTCTCTTAGGTGTGATTTTTTTGGTTGTGGGTTTGACCCTTTAATACTTTCTTTACTTTGAGAACTGAAGCAGCTGAGCCCTTTGTAACACTCTTGTCCTACATTTGTTGTAGCCCAAATTGCTACTAATGGGCTATTTTCTTGGTGGATTACAGAACTCCTTGGTCTTGTTCAAGGTGGCCAGAAGCTTCTGCTCTGTAATAAGAGGATTGAGACTTGGACTTGGAATGAAAATATCTAGGTTTTAGTCTCAGCTTTACTCCTTATTAATTCTATGATTTTGGATAAATTAAGTAGCTTTTTAACCTTAGTTTCTTTATCAAATAAAAATAGTACCTACCTCACAGGGTTGTTGTGAGGATGAAATGAGGTAACAAAAATATATTTGAGCTCTTTGAAAACTACAAACCATAAAGTAGGACTATGCAACTGGAAAGTTTTGTTATTCGTGGAGAGTGAATGGGAGAATTTTTAAAGGGGCTTAAAAGTGATTCTACAATGGAGGACTTTTTAAAAAAACTTTTTTTCCCCCCTCAGTGGGACTTATCCTGAGTGTTTTCTGCAGTTATTAGCTCCTTTTATTGACTTAAATATATTGTATAGGATTTTTTTTTTAAATTGTTACCACCAATGATCTAACCACCTCGCAGGCTAGGATGGCACCACTTGAACTGGGCTTGTTTATATTCTCTTTTTTCAGGGACAGAGTCCCAGATTAATGCCAGTAGTTGGTATTGGGTCTTTGGGAAAGTGAAGCTTGTGGAATTGATTCTTGTGATCCCTTGCTGACCAATAGTGGATTGCATCATTCATTATTTTAATTATAGTAATTTTTAAAAATTGAATTCTACTTACTGGACATGCATCTCTGCACTTGAAAGTTAACATATTAAAAGCATTTTTTTTTCTTCCTTGGTTTTCTTGTTCATGTGGATAACCCAGAGAATGCCTGAGTCTAAGGTGCCATCCTCTGAGAATCATCGCCCAGAAATGTGCTCTAGCTGCAATGTTCCTCTTCCCATTGGAGACAGCAGCTCCTCTGGGAGTTGTACCAGCAGTCCACAGAGGATAGTTTCTCAACCTTCTTCTGTTGAGAACCCATTGGAGAACCAAAAAAATGATCAAAATAATTCAGATTTTAAGATCTCTGAGACAGATACACTTAAACCATCACAAAATTATCAGAATCTGCCTTCATCTCCACTTCTGGTCCCCCAAGAATCTTTGGCCTCTTCACAGGTCAAGGAGGATTTACCGCCAGAGTCTTCAGCTTCACAGCATGGACAGGATGCCATCCTCTATCTCCAGACACAAGTGGCTGAGATGTCCCGAGTGATACGTGATCTACAGTCCAGGAGTTGTTTCAGATTTCACCATTCTAGGTCAAGTGAGAACTCCTCAGTTCCTTGGGACATCACCTCCAAGGAAGAGAATTTATCTACAGTTGAAGAAGAAGCAGACTGCAAATCCCCCTCAGCTGATGACAAAGGACAGCCAGCTGATCCCAGTCAGACCAGTTTCACAGGTCTTTTGAAGAGAATGGAACAGAGAGGTGTTATAAAGAGAGTAACATTACAGTCTGAAGCAGAGTCATGTGACGGGAAACCTGATTATGTGACTTCTAAAAAACGTCTGGTTCCTCCGCTGCATCCTCTTCTAAGAATTGCCACCACTGAGGTTTTTAAAGACCCTGCTGATTGCCATCCTTCTTCTTTCATGGGACACAGGGTATATCCTGTGGCCAAGGATACCTCTCCTTTTCAACCAAATCCTCCAGCTGAGGGTCCCATTGTAGAAGCATTAGAGCATAGCAAAAGAGGAAGCACAACATCTCTTCTAGATTCTACCTCAAAGGAAATGGAGGTCATGGGTTGTAGATTTTACCATGCTGCTTCCATTGCAGCCCGAGCTGCTAGCTACATGGCCTATATGACTCAGTATCAGCGTAAACTCTGGGAAGACATGGAGGATCTGGTCCATGACCCAGAATTTGATCGTGGAAAAGCAAGATGTATAATATCTGATGGTATGGATGCAGGCCTTTGGCAGCTTTGTACTACTAGGGACATAATGGACTCTGTAGTCAGAGTTATGGCAATGGCAGTAGACTACAGAAGGCAAGCCTGGCTCCGACTTACATCTCTCACTAAGAAAACCCAGGAGAAGATCTCACACTTGCCCTTTGATGGCACTTCCCTCTTTGGACAAGATGTGAATGCTGTTGTTGCAGAAGAAAACAGTATAAAAGAAAATGACTATAAAGACCACAACAAATATTATAACCAACATCGATACTTTTATAGTCATGATCAGAAAGCACATTATCACAATAGAGGGTACTCCAAAGGGGATTGGTACAAATCCCGAAACCACCCCTATAGATATAGAAAAAAGGGAGAATCTCCAGAACGCCATGGGTACAAGAATTAATAGCCTGTTTGTTTAGCAGTATAGCCATCCAACATCCTAAGTATTTTACTTGCTCTTCCTGACTTAAACAGATCTACATGTAGGTGGTCACCTCAAAAATTGAATGCATGTATGGAATTGCTTCAGCTTACATTTAAATTCTAGACTGTTGGAATGAAGTATATAATAAAATCATGCTTATTGACCAAGTGAGCAGTGGAGACTTTTCATCTAAGTAGGGTTGGACAAAGATTTACCCATTATTTCTGATTCAAAGTAAGTACAGAGGAAGGTACTCAGGAATCAGAATCCTCTTGTGATCAAAGAAAAAGATAAAGATTTGTTCCTCAGGAAAATCTTGCTGGTAAATTGAGGACCAGGAGATTTATGGCCTGGAAATAACCCACTAACCAGATCTCTGTTTAACACAGAGACAGATCCTTCATTTTTAGGTTATCAGTGCTTCCTTGTTCAGGCTTTGCTTGTCAGATCTTCACAAAATGACAAATCTCTATATCATACAACTCAAGCTCTGTGAGACTTCAAAATCAACCATGAAGCTGTATATCAAGAACTGGAATTCAAGTCAAATTTTGCCAAATCTAGTTTGCTTCCAGTGGGATGACTAGATGTTACAGGTCTACAGTGGGCACCAGCTGGAAAAAGACTTTTCTACCCATAATGTCTTTAGAAATTTCACAGTTAACTATCTTCATCAAAACTGATTGCTATCATACCATTACCACTCCAAGTTACATTATGAGAGAATTCTTAGTTGTTGTCACTTATAAGCCTCTGACATATCAAACTCATATCATTCACCAAGCTGTGAGACCCAGTAATGGTGTTCTCTCAGGATAATCTGGACCTTTCAACACGATGACCTTCTTAAACCCACCTTCTAAACAGTTAAAATTTTTGAGCTTGATAATTCATCACACTTTAAATACAAAACAAGATATGTATATTAGTGACCTGGAAATAAAGGATGTTACACCATCTAGGCATGCAAATCTGAACTCTAAAAAGAGCAAGAATTCTAAACATGCCTGACAATCCAGTTCTCTTACTGTAATAAAAGGAATGCCATCAATTGATGCTATTGAGAAATCCATAAGTTTTAGACTATAAATGTTGATGTAGTAAAGAGAACATCTCACACAGTTCGGTTTCTGGATATCTATTTAAATGATATATCCTTTAATAATTTCTTAAAAGTCTGAAATCAAGACTTCAGTGACATGGTCTTTGTTTATCGTTCCCTTAACCTAGTCAGACTTTTACCATGAGAGACGACCTTGGTTTAATTAATAGTTCTCCACTATCCTGGAACTAGCAGATACCTCAAATACATGTCTCACAGTATCTTTTCAATCTCAAGGGAGTGGCTGTACTGTATACCAGGCCTTAGATCCTTGTCTTCGCAGCATGACTTCAGAAATGGAGAAAATTGTCAAGTTTGAGGGGTCTGAATACATGACCCAGTATTACTTGCTTGGCAGCCAAAATAGTTTTTTTTAATTCACAGACTTATAACTTTGTAACTTGTTTGTCAAACATCAATATCTTTTTATCTGCTTGATCGAAATATTTTGGGTCTACTGTTAGTGGAATATAACGCTATTTTAGGATTCATGTGGTTTCAATTTCTTGCCATAGTTCTTGCATAATGGTAATTGACGGTTTTCCTGGAGCCCCACTTTTTAATAGCTTATTGGAATCTCATTCTTTCTCTCCATCATAACCATATTCAGCACCATATTTGTGCTATAGAGGTTGAAGAGGCAAAAAATCCCAACTTGAAAGAAGTTATTTACTTAGATACTTTAAGGGTACTGTATTAGTCCTACTTGTAGATTAAGTCTAAACTACAGTCTTGAGAGCATCATCTTGCAAGTTTGGTCATATCTACGGTTAATATTTACCTTTATATTTCTGAATTTCCACAAAATTTTACTTCTACTACTTTAGATCCATGCCAATGCTATAGGAACTGTCTTTCAAATTGAACTTTAGAAGAGCATTAATTAACTGCCTATAAAGAATCAGGCCTTAGAAATCATACAAAGATTTTAATACATGATATGTACTACACCAGTAAAGTAGTCTTATGTGCCATCAACATGGGACTACAGTTTCTTCTGTGAAAGGACTAGTCACTGGAGAGAGAGAGAGAGAGAGAGACCTTGGAACTGTTCTGTATGGCTGCACATAGGTGTTCCAAATTAGCTAAGGCTACTTCAGACTGCTCCACTTTTCCTTTCCTTCCTTGAATTAAATACTGGGCCACAAACTCGATGGTTTTTGAGGCATTCTTATTTTCCAGAAACCAAGCCAAACTAAATGATGCTTTAAGTATGATTTTTTGAAATTGCTTTGGCACTTCTGCTTAATATGCTCCTCCTTTGTAATTTTTTTATTGTGGTTTAAAGAAGACAACCTAAAATTTACCACATGAACCATTTTTAAGTGTATAGTTCAGTAGTAGTGTTAGCTATATATACATTGTTGTGTGTAGCTCCTCCTTTCTTAAATATTTCTGAAACAGCATTGCTATTCTCTTTCTCCTATGTTATGTTGCTCCATAATAAAGCTGAAAACATTGCTTTATCACTCTCTAATTGCTATGTCCAAGCCTCTCCAGGGGATTTTCCTACAAGTAAAAAGGTATTTAGAAATTATTGAATTTCGATAATCAAGTAGGTAACTTCTGAAGGGATTTGACAATTGAGTGGGGATAGGGACAAAATGCTGTAGAGTTGGGACAGTTTGTAGTTATAAATTAGTTTTTTGACTACAGAAGAAACATCCTTAACCTGTTTGATTTTTGTTATTTTAAAATCTTTCCCTGGCATACTTGAATGATGATGGTGTTATAAAACTAAAAATGAGGACTTGGTCTAGGGAGACAACCCCAGTAGCGTATGGAACTCATAATTAGATAAGTTTTCATATTGTGCCTGTGATGTGCAGAGCCTGTGACAAAATTCTCCATTAGGCTAACCTCTTACGTTTAAATACTTTAGGTTTTCTAGGAGGCCTTGGAATAATTGTAAGTTAATAATTTGGTATTCTCAAAAGGGATGTATCTAATGATCCTTTTTCTTCAAAATGTTATTTCTTGACTAGACATAAAATATATGTGGACACAATATGATTTCTTGTAGTTACTGTGTATGGAGAAATACTGTTTCCATTAATTGTTATATGAAGTGCCTTTTTAAATTTCATGCTTGTTTAAAAGTTAACATTTTGATGTCTTGCATATGTTGCTGGTGATAAGTGAATTTTGTACAGTGATTTTTAATCTTGTAGTTTATTCATTTGTACAATTAATTGCACTAAATGTACTCTCCTTCTGAATGTTTTTTTTTATAGCACTGTTTATCCATTTCAGAAGGTTGTAGAGTATGTCCCTCCTTTATTTAAATAACTTCACAATAGTACATTTTAGTTAATAGTGATTGGCTCAGTTTTTTGGGCATTAAGGCAGCTTTGTTTTCTATCTGTAGATTGTAGGCTTTCTGATTGAGTCATTTGTCTCCTATCTAGCCATGGTAACACAACTTATATTTGACCTTAGGAAAAAGTAGTAAATTTGCCGACACTTTATCTTTCTATTTTTTTTAAGACTGTGTGACAGCTTCCTTATCACTGTAATTGCAATTTAAACTTTTTAAAATTGTGTGGCAGCTTCTTTATCAGTATAATTTTATTATTTACTTAGTCCGCAAAATTGCATTTGAGGGGAGCATAAACTCTTTCAGGCTACTTGGATACTATTTAGTATATCACATTAGTACTGTACTGAGTGATCTGATTAGTAATGTCCTTGAGGTCCCAATACATACAGGATAAATTCTCAATTACCAAATACAAGGAGGTTGGAATAGGCACAGTCTAGAATCCCTTCTAGTTATAAAATTGGATACAGAGTTGAATGACATGGATGAACAGCATTAAATGCTACATTCAGTATTCTTGAGGATGTAATTAATTGATAGGGATTCTAATGAAGGGTTGAAATTATGGATTAGATCTTTGTAGAAAGAGTTTTAAAGATTGCAATAATTGAAAGCTTTTTTTAAAAAATGTGAGGCATATTTTGCCTGTGACTTGCACTATTTAGGTTCCCTCATCTTTTGAAATTTGTAATTTTTTACCTAATGTTAACCACAAGTCCAATGGTCATATCTGTATGCATCAGCCAGATCCATTCTATATAGTTTTTCATTAGTGGATACACTTAACAAAAATATACAGGCGGAAGTTATCAGTAAACTGATGATCACTGCATTGAATGCAAATATTTTAGTTACTTTTTTCAGATAGAACAAGTTTTGTAAGCCATTAAAATATCCTTAATGGAATTTTTCTTCCTGGGTGAATGATGAAAATATTGTTTTATTACATCTTTTTTCTCTTATTGATTAGTGGGATGATATTTTTGTACTGCTTTGTCTTTTCATTTGCTTGATTTTATATAATGAAAACTTTTTTATAGTATTGTTTGGTACCATTGAAGTATCTTATTACTGGAAATTATGTTTGCTTACAGTTGGCTATAACTGGAAGTAATCACAGTCCAACTATGACCTTTTGATGGTAGCATATCAGTTCATTCTTTGTATTGATATTTTCTTCTTTATGTAACACCTCTTTCTACAATGGTGTCTGATCTTCTCTTAATCTCTTTGATGTAGATTATATTTTTCATTCTGCCCGTATAACTAGCCAGGATTTTGATGTGGCTTTATGTTTGTATATTTAAATACAATGCCTTCAGCATTATTGTAAGAGATTTTCTAGTTTTCTCTTATAATGTCTTTAAAAAAACCAGTAGCGAGTCCAGTCTCTTAAACTATTTCCCATCTATTGAACCTTCATTGGTTTTTAATGCTTTCTTGTTTAATAGTAGTATTATTTTCTCATTTCTATATATTCTTCACACAAATGTATATTACATATAGTTTGTGGTCAATTGCAACTTTTCTCTGTATAAAGATTTTAGGACCTTCACCATGAATTTATAGTACAGTTCTGAGATGTGTACTGTATCTTAAAGTTAGCCAGTTTTCTCTAGGTCTTAAGGGCTTTACTGGTTTTGTTGAGGTAACTGTCCATTTCAAATGGTCTATTAGACTTTCTGATGCCTTGTTAAGAATTCAACAAGAGTTCTCAGGTTGTCTGTACTTTTAGGACTTTGGAGCTCTCTCAAGTTATATTGAGTTTTCATATATTCCTGAATATATTCCTTGGTAGAGGTGAAGTAAATGCTTTATATCTGGTAATAATTTTAAAATTTTTTCTCTGACCTTAAATATTTCAAGGGTTATTGTATGAGTTTTGTTAGTTGTCCCTTTATAAGACTAACTTTGAGATGCTATTTTTTCCCCAGGAGCTATCATATGCTTTCTGTTGTTGTTTTTCCCCCCTGGCCCATAAGAGTGGTTCTATCACAGCATTTAATTTTAAGGGCTACAATTAGACCTCTTGTTAACTCCCATTTTTATTTATGATGACTATATTTCACAATACTTTCATTTATAATGTAGTAGTGTGTTAAAATAACTAGTTGGTTTGTGGTCAACTTTATCTGTACTTATTTTAATTAGTGAAGTAACAATGATGTAAACGATGGGGGCAAAACATTTTTTGTCACCAGTTTTAAATTTTCAGTTCTATTTTTAAAACATTTATTTACATTAAGCTTCCTGCTGTTAGGTGTGCAGCCCATTCCTTTCTGTCTTGGGTAGAATATAGTTAATTTGTAATTAGTCTCATTTAGAATCTGAGCACAGAGTTGCATGCATGTTGGTCTTTGTTTAATAGCTTGAAACAGCACCTATTTTCTTTTACTTTTGGCAAAAATATATTTTGACAGATCTTGGAAGCACCTTGATAGCCTTGAGTCTAATTGTCATCTGCCTGAAAAGGAAGTAGAGGAGAGAAACTTCATTTATAGAACTTATATTTACTAGGCTGCTAATTGCAAGGCACTCGAGGTAGACATTCACCCTTATTTTGTAGATGAGGAAATGAAATTTACCAATAAGCCACTTGCTCAAGCAGTGGAACTGCTTTGAATACAGATTCTATTCCTTCATAGTCTCAAGTCAACATTGTACTAGGCTGCCTCCCTGTGTTTTTCAAGGTTCCACTCAAATCTTACCTCTCTGATTAGCTAATTTGAGATATACTAATCTTTGTCTTCCATGATATACACTAATCTTTGATATATACTAGTATTTGTATTTGTCTGTACTCTCGTCCCTTAGTATTTGATGCCTTATATTAACTAATTCCTGGCTATTTCGCTTGTCAGATAAAAAAACCCGAACATCTTAGTTCTCCCATTGAAGTTTTACTGTATTAGACTAAGATTATTCTTGATGCATAGTCATTGGCTTCTCTTTCATATGTTTCTTATTTGCATCCTATTTATTTTCAGCACTGATTGTTTAAGTCAGTGGTGGGGAAAGTCTGGCCCTCAGGCCACATAAGGCTGTGAAATCATTTGGTCTGGCTCTGCCAAGGCATTAGAGGTGAATTAATTAAATGTTTGACCAAATAAAGCAGGTTAATTTTTAAGTTGTTAATTTTGTACAGCCCGAGACTGATGATATAAATATCCAACTGGCCCATGGCAGAAAAAAGGTTCCCCACCCCTGGTTTAAGTAATGGTTCTTACTGCTTTTTTTTTTTTTTCTTCTATCTTTTTTGTTACACCCATTTTGTTTGAGATATACACTTAAACATTTTTTTTTTTACTGGTAACTTGAGGATATTGGCTTAATGGAAGGAAGGTAGAATGATGCGAAGCACGTGGTATTTGAATTCCAAACACCTTGACCTGAGTATTAGCAAGTCACTTATTTTCTGAGCCTCTGTTTTTCTACTTTCAAATGAGGTAATGCCTAGAAATACTTTGAAAACTCAAAAACCCAATATAGATTTTCTTCAGTAGTTCTGCTATTTCTGTTCATATTGGTAGATTTCTTGTTACTGTGGGATGGTATTGAATATAAATACAGATACATTTTAAGATGTATTTAATAGCATGTAATAGTTTTGTGTCATCAGATCATGTTCTTCTTGTTTTCAGTTTTTTAAGGCTGAATTAGACTATATTGTAAGCCCAGCAATGGACTCTCATTGAAAGACATTTAAATAAAATAGTCTCTTTTCTCAAGAGCAAGCTAAGAAATGTTCATAATAAACAATAAAAAAATTAAAGAGAATGTAGAATGAAGAGCTAGGATATGTAGGTACGTGTATACAATTTTTGATGGATGGTATTTTGTCATTTTGTGTCAGTGTTGAAAACAATAATCTTTTTATTTGTCAAACATCTCTCAATAATTGCCATGTGCAGGCAGGTACTGAGGAATGTGTGGGGATGCTGGGTGTTAACACATTGTGGACCAGTAGTTTTATTGCTAGCTTTACCCAGTGGCCAAGTAAGTTTCTCTTGAATGAGTACAAAAAACGTTTTACATAAATGTTAAATGCACGCTTTAAAATTAAATACCCATTGCATTTTGAAGTTATTTATTACATGTGCTTACAAGCTAATATCTTTTTAAAGTATGATTGGCCACAAGCCTTAGAACAGAAAACACGAGAATTCTCGTGATCTGTCCGCAATGTGTTAAGAGATGTTATATTAAGAGAAAGGAATACCAGTACAGTGTAATTATCCTGTTTAGAGGAATGCCTGTGATGAAGTTGGGACAAAAGATAGCTTCATCTGGAGGGTCAAGGAAGCTTTTCTTACCAAATTCTTGAGCTGAAGTTTGGAACATGATCAGAAAAGGGTGTTGGACTAGTGGAGAATAGGAGCAAGGCAATTGGGTGAAGGAATCAGTGTGTGCAGGGCATGGGAACATTGTGTTTCTGGTTTCAGAATTGTAAGAAACGGCCCTTAAGAGGCTAGAATTGGAGGAGATTAAGTTGAAGGAAGAGGATACATTACCCATGAAATCATTGGTTCTTATCTATTCAGAGTGTACTGTTTGTATGTAGCCTTTACTTGTAGAAAGTAAAGTCTGTCTATAGGTTGGTTTGTACTGTAGTCCACTGTAGACATCTAGAGCAAATATTTTTCTTCCTGAGCTGAGCCAGAGGAGAGCTCTCAATCAGTGTACCTCTAGCCCTAGGGACAGCTCAAGCATTGAAATAGAACTGAGATAGTGGTTGAGAATAACTTTGAAGATGAACAGGATAATGTCCCTGAAGTGGAATGTGACATCCCATTATGGGTGTATAGTTGCATACTTTAGGATTGTCTATTGGCAGTGTATCCTCAGAGTAGCTAAATGTGGGTAATTTCCCTGTGTGTTGGCTTACAGATCATTTGTGGGTGGACTTGGGGAAAATGAAGATATTTCTAAAAAAGTTGCTTCATTGTAGTTATGAGGTATTGTATTGAAGGAAGGGCCTGTGAACTTCGTGCAAGTGGTATCTCCAGCAGCACCCAAAGCACATTTTGCCAACTTTCTGTTTGTTTTTTTCTCTGGTTTGATTTTCTTGCTGCTGTTGTCACTTTCACCTTTTCTCTCTGCATAATTCATCCTTTTTTTTTTCCTGTGCCAGAGGTAGAGCAGTGGCACTCAGGATTAAAATGATGTAACTCTCCTTTGCTTTGCTTTGCTTTATATTCAGAGATATTTTTTAATTCCTTTAAGTTCCAAAGTTACATTTATTTATTTATTTTTGCCCTATACTGAAGGAGAATCAAAGTCATCCTTCCTAGAAGGGATTTTTATACATATAGATATTGGCAGTTTACCCAAAAGACAATACAGGAAGAACCTTATTTAACAGGCTCAATGGTACTAGCCTTCTTAACTTACTAAATTACAGAATGGGGTATAGTTGTATGTATGTTTTAAAATTTGTTCATATAAAGTAGATGAAAAAAAATGAAGTAGATGTTCTGTGTACTTTGTATTTGTAAACAATAACCATTTGGAGAAGGAAGGAGATTGCTTTGTACAAAAGGCTTGTTTCCTGGGTCCAAAGCTTTGCTGCTGGAGATGGTAAATAAATATTGTACTGCTTTGCTGTGTTTATTTCTTCTGCTTTATCTGTATTTGAATATAAAATTCTTGAGGAAAATTGTTGCTTTTCAAAATGTTTTTTGGGATGTGACTTGAATTATGAGTTGGGCAGAAGAAACTTCTGGTAAACAGCACTTCTAGGGGTGCAAACTTCAGACCGAACTATGGACCAAAGCTTTAGGATGGGCAATTTGACTTTGTATGAAGTAATGCAGTTTCAGGAATTCTTTTCAAGTGCACTAGTCAGATGTATAATACAATTTGCAAAGTTAATTTATGCTACTTTTGCAGTTGGTTGCTCCTTTGAGCTTTTTTAAAATTGGGATCCCTTACATAGAAGATAAAGATGTAGGTGATCCTCCAATTGGTGCTCCTCTGACTAATCAGTGCCAGCTGACACTCAGATATCCTATATAATAAAAGGCTAATATGCAAATCCACCAAACTGGAAGGACTGGTCCCTATGATGTGCACTGACGAACAGGGGGCAGATGCTCAATGCAGGAGCTGCCCCCTGGTGGTCAGTGTGCTCCCACAGGGGAGCATCGCTCAGCCAGAAACCAGGCTCACAGCTGGAGACTGTAGCAGTGGTGGTGGGAGTCTCTCCCACCTCCGTGGCAGCACTAAGGATGTCTGACTGACGGCTTAGGCCCATTCCCCACTAAGCCATCTGTCAGTCGGACATCTCCTGAGGGCTCCTGTTCTGCGAGAGGGTGCAGGCCGGGCCGAGGGAACCCCCAGAGTGCACAATTTTTGTGCACTGGGCCTCTAGTAACAATGTAAATAAACCTCTGCCTTGTATTGTTTTATCTATATTCCCTCTCCCTTTCTTCACCACCCTCCTTCCTCCTACAACTTTCAGCTTTTTTTATTCCTGGCTTTTTTTAGTAGCCAAAAAGTGCTTTGGTGAGTCAGGGAACTGGGTTGTTGCATCACTTCTCTGGATAATAACTATTTTTACAGAGTGTTTTCTCATAGGGTATATCACCTGGTGTGGGACATAGAGCAGAATTATTCTATTTCACAGTGGTCCAGTAACTATATTCACATTTTTCATTAAAAAATGCTTAATTTTTATCATTTTTGTTAGTTACTCAAGAACTAAAGTATTTTTTAGAGATTAGTAATAATGATTTTAAAATATAAATCATTTGTCTATCATTAAAGAGCCACAAAATGATCTGTGCCCTAGCCAGTTTGGCTCAGTAGGTAGAGCATCGGCCTGTGGACTGAAGGGTCCCGGGTTCGATTAGGGTGAAGGGCACATGCCCGGGTTGTGGGCTCAATTCCAGCAAGGGGTGTGCAGGAGGAAGCTAATCTGATTCTCTCTCATCTTGATGTTTGTATCTCCCTTTCCCTTCCTCTCTAAAATCAATAAAAATATATTTTAAAAAATGATCCACTGCCACAAGCTGTTATAAAATGATAATTTCTCCTGTGCAAGACCCACTTTTCAGTACTGAGTTTCTAGAGATTGCTTTACAAAAGAAGAATTGCTACTTATATCCTCTATTTTCTTTGATTTGATCTTGGCAAATATTTTTAGAAAACTGATTTAGCTAGTTATGGCAATAACAAGTGACTTAGAGGCTCCACTTTTGGGTGAGCTGATGAGTGGAAAGTAAAGTGAAAGATCTGCCTGTATTTAATTTGAGAAAATTTGGATGCAGAAATTCTTACCAAAATATCACCAAACTAAATTCTACAGTAGATATGTCCAAGTATCATACAACATAATCAAGTGGGATTTATTCCTGGGATGTAAGGATGGGTCAACATTTGCAAATCAATCCACATGAACACCACATTGACAAAATGAAGGATAAAAATTATATAGATACAGAAAAAGCTTTTGACAAAATTCATACATTGATGGTAAAAACCCTAAACGAAGTGGGTATAGAGGGAATGTACCTCGGCATAATTAAGGCCATATATGACAACCCCCCAGGTAACATAATTAACAGTAAAAAGTTGAAAGCTTTTCCTCTGAGGTTAGGAACAAGACAAGGATGCCACTCTGCCACTTTTATTCAACACTAGAGGCCTGATGCACAAAATTCGTGTAAGGAGCTCGGCCCTCGCAGCCCCTCACATTCCCCGCTTCATCTGGAAGGTCGTCTGGATGGTCGTCCTGCTGTTCAATCTAATTAGCATATTAGCTCTTTATTATAGTATAGGAATTAGACCAGCAAAGAAAAGGCATCCAACTGGAGATCAGAAAGGAAGAAGTAAAACTCACAATTTGCTGATGATATACTATATAGATTGTTCCTGATTTAAGATGGTTTGACTTTAGGATGGTGTGAAAGTGATACACATTCAGTAAAAACTGGCTGGGCTAAGCTATGTTTGGTAGGTTAAGTGTATTCGATGCATTTTTTACTTACAGTCTTATCAACTTAAGATGAGTTTATTGGGACATAACCCCATTATAAATCAGGGAACATCTATATGTTGAAAACCCTAAAGACTCCAACAAAAAAACAGGACTAATAAATGAATTCATTAAAGTTGCAGGATAAAAAGTTAATATACAGAAGTTTTATACACTAATAACAAACTATCAGAAGAAGAAATTAAGAAAATTCCATTTATAATTGCATCAAAAAGAATAAAATACCTAGGTATATATTTAACCAGGGACATGAAAGACCTCTACACTGAAAAGTATAAGACATTGGTGAAAGAAATGAAAGAAGGCATAAATAAATGAACAGATAATTTTGTGCACATGTATGGGAAGAATTAATATTATTAAAATGTCATAGTATCCAGTGCATACACATATTCAATGCAATTCTTATCAAAATTCAAACAGCATTTTTCACAGAGCTAGAATAAGTCTAAAATTTATATGGAACCACAAAATACCTTGAATAGCCAAGGTAATCTTGAAAAAGAACAGAGAGAGCACACTTTTTGATTTCAAACTATATTACAAAGCTATAATAATCGAAACAGTATGGTTTTGGCATAAAAACTGATACATAAATTAATGGAACCAAAGAGCCCAGAAATAAACCCACATATATATGGTCAATTAATTTAGGACAAAAAATCTCTTCAATAAGTGGTAGTAGGAAAACTGGACAGCAACATACAAAAGAAATTAAACTAGACGACTATCTTACACCATGCACAAAAATTAACTCAAAATGTTTGATTACAGACTTGAATGTAAGACCTGAAACCATAAAACTAGAAAGAAACAGGCCCCTTGACATCAGTCTTGTCATTTACTTTCTGATCTGACTCCAAAAGCAAAAATAAACAAGTGGGACTATATCAAACTAAAAATTTGCACAGCAAAGGAAACCATCAAAATGAAAAGGCAGTCTACTGAATTGGAGAAGATATTTGCAAATTATATATTCAATAAGGGGTTAACATCCAAAATGTATAAATAACTTAGCAAAAAAAAAACACCCCAATTCAATTAAAAAGATATGAACAGTTTTCAAAGGCGGCTTACAGATGGACAACAGCCACATTGAAAAATGTTCAACATCACTAATTATCAGGGAAATGCAAATCACAACCACAATGAGCTATTACCTCATTTCTGTTAGAATGGTGGCCATTATTAAAATGACAAGAAATAAGTGTTAAAGTAGATGGAGAGAAAGGGGAACACTCATACACTGTGGGAATGTAAATCGATGCAACCACTATGGAAAACAATATGGAGATTCCTCAAAAAATTAAAAATAGCACTACCATATGACCTAGCTATTCCACTTCTGAGAATTTGAGAAAAGTAAATCCCCCAAAATACTAATTAAAACTGGTATATGCACCCATATGTTCATTGCTGCATTGTTTATAGTAGCCAAGATATAGAAACAACTTGAGTGTCTGTTGATGGATGATTAAGAAAATGTGATACACACACACACACACAATGAAATAATACTCAGTGAAGTAAGTTAGACAAATACTGTCTGATTTCACTTGTATGTGCAATCTTTAAAAAATGAAAACAGCCCTAACCGGTTTGGCTCAGTGGATAGAGCGTCAGCCTGCGGACTGAAAGGTCCCAGGTTCGATTCCGGCCAAGTGCATGTACCTTGGTTGCGGGCACATCCCCGGTGGGAGGTGTGCAAGAGGCAACTGATCGATGTTTCTCTCCCATCGATGTTTCTAACTCTCTATCCCTCTCCCTTCCTCTCTGTGAAAAATCAATAAAATATATATTTTTTTAAAAAATGAAAACAAAACTTATAGATACAGAGAACAGGTTGGTGGTTATCAGAGGGGAAGGGTTGGGGGTTGGAGGATGGATAAAATGAGTGAAGGGACTTCAATTGTATGGTGACAGTTGTTTACAAGACTTATTTTGGTGATTACTTTGTAGTGTATACAAAGATCAAATTACACCGTATACTTGTAACTAATATAGTGTTATATACCAAGTTTACCTCAAAAATTAGTATAAAAATAAAATGTTTGAGAAAATTATTCAAGAGTCCTTCTTTGAAAAGTTTTATAAAACAGTTTATAGCAGTTTTTTCAGCATTCAATACCAGTTTGTAATACCAAACTGGGGTTGACAAGCATTTGGCACTTAGTTTTCTATTCTATAATACATTTCGGGATTGAGAGTGAATATTTAATGAAATAAGCATTCGCAGATGAATATTAAAAGGAAGCCAACTCATAAAGTCATTTCAGTATGCATAAATGAAGACTAGACAGATGAACAGAAATTCGGGTTCTAATAAAATTTCTTTGTGACTTAATTAGCTTCCTTTTGAATAAATCTATTAAACATTGAGGAATTATATTTGTGATAGGAAAAGCTAATGATTTTACTTTCTATATTTAAAATCCAAACCAGAAAAGCAGTAGGTCAGGTCTAAGTTGAATAATACTTTTAAGTTTTAAGTTTTAACTTTTAATTTGACTATATGTACTTTTAATATTTTAAATACATTTTAAAATACAAATCAGTACATGTGCTTTGGATTTTTTAAAAGCATATGTGTAATTAAAGGAAAATACACACTTAT